CCACACCCGTTCCCAAGACCACATCATCCTTCAAAACCTTCACTGGCTTCCCATCCCATACAGCATTAAATTCAAAAACCTTCTACTCACCCATAAAGCACTTTATAACCAGGCCCCCTCTTACCTCAAAGACGTGCTCCACCCCTACACCCCTTCATGTACCCTCTGAAGAAGAAAGCCATTTTCTTTTATTGTGATGGTCAAAGACCCCTGAATTCATTCCCTGTTGCCATGTGTTTTCCCATCACCTTTTGTCATGTGTTTTCCTACCTCCTGTCACAGGCACCCGATTCCACCCCCTGTTGTTCATTGCCCCCCTTACCTCCTGCCATTTGATTAGCAACTGTATGTTAATTTACCTCTATTCACCTCTGTATTTACATGCAGGCCCCCCNCCACAATAACAGGAACCCAAGAAGAATTACCAGCCAGACCTTGTGGTTGAGCAATGATTGTTCAGTTTCCAGCCGTCGGATAAGATATGTGTCTGATGGGAGTTGAGTCTCTTTCACGTCTTCTCTGGTGTTTGTCAGCCAGTTCGGACATCAGTAATCAGTTTATGTGTGAATGTGTGTGTATGTGTGTGTATGGGCTTCACTGAGCAGAGTTCGTCGTGCACTCAGGAAGTGAGGTGAGTGTGCTACACTGACAGATGTGCTGATCAGTGTACAGGTGCTCTTCTGCTGATGTGGCTATCAGCCCTCTGTTTCTGGTCCTGGTCTCATGAGAGTTGGTGACTTGGCACGTCACCTGTAGAAGGGAACCTCGTCTACTGCTTGGCCTGTAGCGACACCTTCTTGCAGTGGCTGGCGTGGATCCAGGTGGCTCGTTCAGCAACCTTTACCGCTGTCTGGGTCACCAAGAGAACTTGGAAAGGTCCCTGCCACGGTCTGGCCTTCCAGTTCTTTCTGCGGAAGTCCTTGACAACCACGAAGTCCCCTGGTTGGAGGGTGTGCAGTGGTCCTGAGGCTGGAGTTGGTAGGGCCACAGCTACTTGGCGCCTGATGTCTGCTAATTTAGAAGACAGATTAGCACAATAGACCAAAATGTTGTTCTCACAGAGAGTTGTGGATGGGAGGGGCCCTGTTGGAGGTTCCAGCCCCACATGTGGTGGAGCTGCAAACAGAATTTCAAACGGACTGAGGTTAGTTTTGTTTCTTTTCCGCATCCTCATGTGCATTAGGACAATAGGCAGAGCTTTGGTCCACGGCAGTCCTGTGTCTGCGCAGCATTTGGCCAATTTGTTCTTTATGGTCCCATTTTCTCTTTCCACCGCACCTCCACTGGCTGGATGGTATGCACAGTGCTTCCTAATGTCAATTCCGAGGATTTCACTGACCTGTGTGATTGCTTCGTTAGCAAAATGTGGGCCATTGTCGGTGGAAATTTTGGATGGGATGCCCCACCTTGGGATGATTTCTCTCAGGAGCACCTTTGCCACTGCATCAGCTGTCTGGGACGAAGTAGGGAAAGCCTCGACCCATTTTGACCACATGTCTACAATTACCAAACAGTACTTTTTCCCCTCAGATGGTGTGAGTTCAATGAAATCCATTTGTAGATGCTGAAATGGTCTCTCAGGAGGTGGATGTGCTGCCATTGCTTGTGGTTTGATTGGTTTACCAGCATTCTGTGTGACACANATCCATCCATCCATCCATCCATCCATCCATCCATCCGCTCCGCTCCGCTCCGCTCCGGAGAGAACCCACGCTGCATGGGGAGAACATGCAAACTCCACACAGGAAGACCTTGATTGAACATGTCCCTATAGTCACATTATTTTCTTATTTTCTCTTCTAAGGGTATCATCATTTTTGTCCAGGCCTGTTTCATGAGTTTATTTTTAAAAATAATTCTGTTAAACCACGGTTCCAAAGCAATGTCTGATTTTCATTGATTAATTTTCTTAAAATCATTATTTATTATTACTTTTGTCAGATTCAAGTTGTTTCTGAGTGCCAAGGTGGTGGGTGGTGATGTAGGAGTTTAAAAAGGGATGTGGTCTTACACATTGCCTGTGTTTCCCTCCAATACAGTTTGTCTTCCCTCATTTAAACATTTGAATTTTGTCTGACCCTTAGAGAAAGGCTGAGCTACGATATAGGGGAGAGCGGGGTAAGATGAGCCAATTTTTACATATGTTGTCCTGGAGGTTAGGAAAAATGACACAGAAATAGAATGACAACATATATCTGTATTTCAGGATGTCTCCTATCAAATGAAATTATCAGAATGCATCTCTAACAAAGCTGCCCAAAATAATGACTTCTCAAAAAAAAAGTGCTCCTGTGGCTCAACTTGCCCCAGGTTAGGGGTAAGTTGAACCAAGTAAGTGGGTAAGTTGAGCCATTTGGGTGTACACTGACCATCTGAGTTTTAAAATGTAAACCTGAGCATATTTTGTTAACAAACAGTTTAAACAGTTTTGAACTTGTGAGAATAAACCACCAGTTAGTTTCAAAACTGTTTAGCCATTTAATCAAAACAACTATTCAATATTCCAACTGTCAAGGTTGCAGGGGAATAGTCAGAGGTGATCCTAGGTTCTGAGGGGCCCCAGGCAAAGAGGTACATGGAGGCCCCCCCATATATTTTTGTGCATTTATCAGTAGCATATCCATCTACCACTTTCTTGCTGACATTTTTCCTACTCCACCCGTCTCTTCTTCCTTTTCTGGAAACCTGACAAGTGTTGCTTCATTGTGCTGAAAGTTCACTTTGTTTATCAGGCAGTCGGACAGGACCGATAAGTGGTAGGTGAAGGGGGGCCCCACTAGGTGGGGTTGTGGGACACCACCTTCAATGCACTGTATAGGGGCTTGCATAGGATTAAGGGGGTTCATGGTTGTCACTGCAAAATGTATCAAAGTATAGCCATTTGAGAGGGCCCCTTTTTTCCGACAGGGTCCCAGGCAATTGCTTGTCATGATGGTGCGCCTCTGGGAATATGAATTGTTGCTCCCTCCTTGCAGTTCCTCTAGCCTTTTGAGGCTGAGGTAGTTTCTTCAGCACATCACTCCTTGGGAAAGATGCCTCATCCTTTTCCTTGAATGCAAAGGTGGGTTTCGTACTGCCAGTGATCCTTTGGATTCTTCTGAGAAATCTGGCACTCACTTAGTTGCCCGCAAGACTGTCAACCAAGCCAATGTAATGAAAGCTCCTACATTTGGATGCAAATTTTACAATGACAAAGTCCCCAACTACCATATCTGAGACATCTGATTCAATTCTTTCATCGCTGGAGCTCTCATGCTCAGCTCTCATGCTACAAACCTTGTTTGTAGGTTCTTGGCATGATACCTTTTCTACAATGGTTAACATATGACAAACGCACCAAACCAGTTGAGTATACTCAACAGAAATACCATTTTGTACGTCAGAGACTTAACTGAATTTTAGTGCCTTATGGTGGGGTAAGTTGAACCAATGGCTTAATTTACCCCATAGCCTTTGGCTCCCTTTGCCTACCATTTTGGAAAAAACTGGCTAGCTTAGAAATTCAGGCTAATCTTTAGTGAAGTGATTCACGTGATTTTATATATTAGCAAACCACCAACATGTATAATATGTCATTTTAGACCTGGATAAGTTTGCTTTGACATGACAGTCATTTTACCTGATATGCAGAAATGTTACTTTGACAAGCAAAAAACAGTTTTTCGTGTAGAAAAATACTTAACCTTTCTCCCATGTGCTACTCTGCATCACAGCAAGATGGGAATGATGGGTGCTTCCTGAATTTATGGTCACATGACAAAACATGTGCACGGTTACCTAGATACAAGGGGTGGGTCAACTTCCCCACTGGCTCATCTTACCTCACTCTCCCCTACTGACACTGAGATAGGACTGTTGTTATCATTTATACTAAATCCTGTTTTGTAAGTTCCAGTGTTTGAACTGATCTGCAGCGTTTCCAAAAGTTAACAGTATGTCCCAGTGAGGCAGTCTGGTCCTCCATGTTCTAGACAGAGTAGGTCAGCCAACCGCTTCTTTCTCCCAGCAGCTTTCAGAGCAGCAAGACGTGGTTGCAAATCCAAACGCTGTGGATAAGGTCGCCACACAAAGCCACAGTTGGAGTTATTGTGCTTTCGTAAGCGACGCATCCGTGTCCACTGTAAACCACTTGTTTATAAGCCATGCAGACCAAAGGGCCAACACACCCCACTGAGCATCTCTTCAACAGACCTGTGAACTTCTCCAGAGAGTTGAAAGAGTGACATGTTAGTGAATGTGATAATATCATCATTTTAGATGTCAAATCACTCACTCTGTTACAGTTGAACTGTCAGGAGAAATAATAACTGCTTAACTCAGCCATATCATTATATTTCACTTATTTAACTTACTGAGTTTACTGTAAGGTGACTGTCCCTGCGTCTGCAGCCATTTCTTCACTGTGGCTCTACGATTCTGGCTGTCACATTCATTTGTATTGGGTTTAAAAGTTTCAGCAGTGTGTGTCTACAGTAGTGGATTTGCTGACTGAGTGTTCCAGCCTCTCTGACCTGCTGTGGTGTGTTGATCAGACAGCCATCATGTCAGCACCACAGGTTCATGTAGCAGTACAGCTGGACGTATCCACAGCAGCATAAGCAGGACCACAGCAGTGAGGAGCAGTAACTATACCGATTATACCGGCTGTGTTCGTAACCAGCGGCTATGAGAGAGTTACTTCTATCTCAAGCATCACCAAATGATCAATAAACCACCTGTTCACATGGATCAGAAGGAACACAAGTGTTCTGAGGTAATGCAAATGTAATCCAGGAAAAACATGTCACTGTGATCTTCTGGGGGCTCATTTTATTGCATAATGCTTCCTTTATTTCAGGTTGTCTGTCAGTTGAGACGAACAAAGCTGAGCTCTTTATGCTTTCTGTTAAATAACTGATCAGAATGTAAAACCACATACAGCTCTCTCACGCAAAAGCACAAACCATCACTCACAATGTCTTTGTGGAGCTCAGTGAGTCCTTACATGTGTGTTGTTTCAGGTTCCAGTTCATAGTCCCTAAGAGGTGGCAGAAGAACAGACCAGTATGTATCCACTTAGCTGGGACTGGAGACCATGTAAGGTTCTGAAGCCTTTAGTGTCAGCATTACTGAATATGAATGGACACCCCTTTAAAGAACATCATGCTGTTTTATATTAATAATGATGTCAATAGAGATTCTTCTATAAACCAGTTTCTATGACATCGGCCGGTGTCCTGACGTGGTGCCTAACACCCTCTGGCAGCACAACAAATGAATGACCACTGTGATGATGACCTGATCCATTTCACTTGGTGACTGTTGTGTCTTTATGACCTGTGTGTAGTTTTTCTGGCGCCGGCGGACCCTGATGGCCAGGCCCATGATCAAAGAGGCAGGAATGGCTTCGCTGCTTCTCGAGAACCCTTATTATATCCTTTTTATTTTTGAATTTGTTTTTGTTAATGGACAGTGTTGATGTTCTCTGGATGGTTTCTGACCACACGTCACAGATCTGCAGCCAGAGGACCATGGTGCTGATTTTTGTTTAACTTGTAGACCAAATACATGTTGGTGAAGCCTTTTAGGTCAGCAGAGTTACTTGAATCTAATGAGCAAGCTTCACCCTCATTGAGCCTAATTCTTTGTGATTGGCTACTTTCAGTGACGTTTCTGATTCATGACAGATGAAAAGCACTTTTCATGATATGTTTTTTAGTGTTTGGTACCTTTATTTAACCTTTAGCTTACCAGGTAAGTTAGTTGAGAGCTGGTTCTCATTTTCAGTAACGACCTGGTCATAGACTTTGTGCTTCAATCCTGCAGCTGGACGTTCAGTTCAGCTTTGTTGTCACTGATTTAACGCCTGATGCACATAACTTCTATTCTTCTGAAGCTTCTACAGGATCAGGTGATTTGCCACAGAGGTGATAATTCTACTAACTGTATATGATTGAGGTCACAGTAGGAGGTCATGTAGTGGAGTACATTTCATTTAAACATTCCCCTCATGTACATTAATGGGTTGGATCCTAGACAACAAATGTCCCACATTTTCACAAAAAGATTGAATACATGGATACAACTAAAATATATGAGCATGATCCACTTAAACTGACCCACATGTCCTTTAACAAGGGTGCCGAGTCTCAGTTACCTTGGACTTTGAACCAAATGAAACTCTCCAGGTCAGCAGATCAGCAGTGAGTTCCTAGGGAAATACCTTCTCCTCCTCAGTGCTGTCTTACAAAGCTAACTGAGTTTCTGTTCATTGTGTGATTGCTTATAACCCTTTGTTTCTTTTAACCTCATAAGAATCTGTAAAAATCATTGGACCTGTTATCTTTTTCTTAGAAAACCTGTAGATACACACAGAGATCTCGTCTATTGAGTTTAAATAATTCCCATGCAAGTGATACGGTTCTTCAAAGGGAAGGAGTGCCTTGTTGGGTCCACTGTTTATGTCCAATCATACAGTGCTTCTGTGAAGTGTGGCTAGTAAGCTGGCCAACTTGGGGCTTTTGCCATTTTATGACTGAAGCCCATATTGATAAAATGAACAGCACATCGACACTGTTATTGAAATATTTCTTTCACCCTGTAGAGACCAAGCAGAACCTACTTCTAGGAAAATGCTGTTGTTCCATTTAGCTTCTCAAGTCGAATTACACTGAAGATGTATCAGCCAATAACCTGAATAGCTTGTTGGCTCACAGGTCAACACTGCCAGTCTGCTGGAAACACACTGATGATGTGACAGTCAGAGTATCTTCCTGAAACAAGCATGTTATTCATGAAGCTCTTGCTTGCAGCAGGCACACACCCTTGGAGCTAGCTGAAGGAAATATGTCTGAATTCCATACTCTGGTCCTATGTGTGTGCCTTCTTCTTATCTTTATCAGATGCATATTGTCTGAGAATGTTTCATTGTTTCTTGACTGATGCTTTACATGGCTACCGCAAACCCAAAGACCAACGGTAAGTTAACTCCTCTGACCTGATTAACTATTCATTTGTGCATTGATTCAGACAGAAGTAGACAAAAAGGAGCTTTTCCATGTAAAAGAGAACCTTTACACACACAACATCATGGTGACTCAGCACTGTACATGATTAACTGTTTAACTAACTGGTGGACTGGTAGTCTTTTATTTCTATTAATATTTAAATGAAACTTTTAAAAAATATTTCCATGTACACAGTAAATAACATAGGTCTTATCACAGAGCCCTGTGGAACTCCATAACTAACTCTGGTGTCGGGGGAAGAATCATCATTAACAAGAACAAACTGGAATCTGTCTGATAACAATGATTTAAACGCATTAAGCATGGGTCCTTCAATCCCAATAACACATTCCACTCTCTGTAGTCAGATGCTGTGATCCACTGTATGAATGCAGCACTGAGATCCAGCAGAACCAGGATAGAAACTAGTCCAAAAAGCTGTGGAGAAAAGTGGAAGAAACCTCAGGAAGAGAAATAAAGGGGGGTCCCTGTTCCAGATAAAAATTATGTTGTGTGTGCAGAGTACATCAAAATAGCAAAATAACAATTGTAGAAGTCTGAAGAATAAAAAATACATTATTTAATGATTTATTTGTGTTATTTTATATGTCTTGAACATACTGAAAATGAGAGATTAACAGAGATCAAAGGTGTTATACTGCAGGACTGATCAGAGATTTTACTGTTTCTTTAAAGCTGGGATTAATCCATTGTAAAGTAAACAGAGATATTTCTTGATGTTGTAGGCGTTCCAGTCTAAAGAACGTTTCAGACCTGTTTGTGATGGGAGGGGCTCTGATTCTGGAGTCAACAGTTCTTCTCCGTTGGCTGGAGAGAGATGGGTACTGGCCACTTGGAATGACTGGCATCTCCATGGGAGGATATGTGAGTCACCAGAATGGAAAATGTTCTGTCATTTTGTATATTGAAGCAGGTTCCACTTCGATTGTCTTTTGTCAAATCCATACAGTATAGTCTTAACATTTATGTACTACGTAACTAGTCAACATACTTGCTATCCCAGAGACACATACTCCCTGGTGTCTGGTTGAAACTTGAAAGAAAATATTTTCTAATCATCCATACATATATGAGGTCCAATACTATGTTTATATTATATCTATTTCTATCTGAAGATCACGTTTCATAGTCTCTTGTGTGTATTTGTGTCCAGATGGCGTCCCTGGCAGTGACTAACTGGCCAAAGCCCATTCCTTTGATTCCCTGTCTGTCCTGGTCGACTGCCTCCAGTGTGTTCACCACGGTAACGCCCTGTTCCAGCTGACAGGGAGACATTTAGTTAGATCTGATATTATAAATATTTTTTCTTCCTTGTAGTTGATGAAAGCTGTGACAGTATGTCGTCAAACTCCGACTGTGCAAAGTCGACCTGATGAGTTGAATTGTGAAGATTGCATCATCAGAACCATAAACACAAACAGGAACTGTTAAAGATATACACCAATCATCCACATCTTAAAAGGTCTCCTATGGTGCCCTTTTACCAGAATAATGAAAGTCTCACGTCGCCAGAATGTGTCTTTCAGATTTTCAGCTCAAAATACTGCATATTTCCCCAAAACTGTCCAATCTGTGGTTCCAGATGAGCTGTTTCAGAGTTGTAGCTTTAACTACAACTGAGTGGCTACTGTTTAGAGCCCTTCAGGAAGAGAGCTCTCTCTGCATCTGTGACTGACAGCGCAACAACAACAGAAAACATTGTCATGGAGACAGCCTCATTGGCCATTTGACTATAATAACATGTAGTATTTGTAGGCACAGACAGCAGGAGAGAAGAAAATAGCTGTAAACACCACCTGAGTTCACTAACCCACCCAGGTCTTTACCTATTGGTCTTAAATTGGTCCTAAAGTTTCCACTATCTCTAAATGTCCCTCAGCTATTTTTTTCTATTGTTTATGAGGATAATAATGTCTCCAGTGTGTCTAGAGAACAGCAACATGTGTGAAAGACCACCTCCTCATTTTTAACAGTCTCCATTGTTTAGAAGGTGTGTCTGTACTACGAAGCAGGCTATTACGGTAACTGCATGTTTAACTCTGGGTGTGCAGTATGGCGACGATGCTTTACTTCACCATGGTAATTCATGCTGAACTCTGAAGCAGTTCTGGAGCAACATAATCCAGAAACAGAAACCGATTAAAACACTAAAGCCTTCCAGCCTGATGGTTGAACGTATTGGATTTGGAGTAAGTCTACTTATTGGTCTGAAAGATGTTTTAATGCGTTCTTTACTTGCACCCATGACTTTCTAATACCACCAGGGTGTTAGCTGAAAGAGTCTTGCACACCATAAGAATGGGACGAAATGTGAGATATCTGTATATCAAAAGCACAGTGATACACTGCAAAAACTCAAAATCTTACCAAGTTTATTAATCTTGTTTTTAGTCAAAATGTCTCATCCCACTTGATTTGAGATAAATTCACCTAACAAGTAACATTTCAGCAAGATAGAGGGACTTGTTTTAAGACACTGCATCTTAAATATCTTGTTAAGTCAAACAATCTTGAAATTATCTTGTTTTGAGTTGTATTTTAGAAGAAACGAGGCTAATTTGACATTTCATATATTTCATATAAGATAGATAATCTTGATTTAAGAAATAAACTTTACTTAATTCAAGTGAAGGCATCTTACAAAGCGAATTTTCACTTGTTCTATTGGCAGATTTCATCACTTATTTCAAGGTAAAAGTACCTTGAAGTAAGTTTTTTTTTTCTTGTTTTGAGAAGGGCATTTTTTCCAGTGTACTGATAATGTTCTTTGCTAAACTCTGGCTGCAGCAGTTTTGCCTGTATTATATTTTAAACTCCTCATTATTGGTTTAAGATTGTCGAACAATTATATAAAGTTTATACACTTATTTGTAGTCTTCTATACAATGTAACAGTCTACTTAGCACTTTGAATGATGTTTTTATGTTAATTTTTTTGCTTCACTTGCTCCCAAGACAGTTTAACAATGAGCAGCTGAAAGAAGAACGCTGACACTAAAGTCTTTGGCTACATGTCAGAAGAATACATCTCAGCAGTGCATTCATTGAATAGAATATGCAGTAAGGTCCATAAATATTTGGACACAATGTTCAGCATTTCTACTCTGTACGCCACCACAATGGATTTAAAAAGAAACAATCAAGATGCGCTTTAATTGCAGACATTAGCTTTAATTTGAGGGTATATACATCCAAATCAGGTGGACAGTGAAGAAATCACAACACACTTCATATGTGCCCTCCACCTTTTTAAAGGACCAAAAGTAATTGGACAGTTGGCTGCTCAGCTGTTCCATGGCCAGGTGTGTGTTGTTCCCTTATCTTTTCTTTTACAAGAAGGAGATAAAAAGTCTAGAGTTCATTACAAGTGTGGTATTTGGAATCCGGTGAGGTCAACTCTCAATATGAAGTCCAAAGAGCTGTCACTATCAGTGAAGGAAGCCATCATTAGGTTGAAAAATCAAAACAAACCCATCAGAGAGACAGCAAAGACACTAGGTGTGGCCAAATCAACTGTTTGGTACATTCTTAAAAAGAAAGAACGCACTGGTGAGCTCAGCAACCCCAAAAGACCTGGAAGACCAAGGAAAACAGGTGTGGTGGACGACAGAGGAATCCTTTCTCTGTTCAAGAAAATCCCTTCATAACAGTTGACCAGATCAAGAACATTCTCCAGGATGTAGGCGTATCTGTGTCAGAGTCAACAGTTAAGAGAAGACTTGACCAGAGTAAATACAGACGGTTTATCACAAGGTGGAAACATCTGGTGAGCCACAAAACTGGGAAGGCCAGATTAGTAAAAAAAACATCTAAACGAGCCTGTGCAGTTGTGGAACAACATCCTCTGGCCAGATGAGACAAAGACCAACTTGTACCAGAATGATAGGAAGAGAAGGATGGAGAAGAGAAGGAGCTGCTCCAGGTCCAAAGCGTAGCACCTCCTCAGTGAAGCATGGTGGGGTAGTGTGATGGGTGGCCATAAATGGCTGCCAATGGAACTGGTTCTCTTATATTTGTTGATGATGTGACTGCTGACAAAAGCAGCAGATTGAATCCTGAAGTGTTTTGGGCAATATTATCCACCCATATTGAGCCAAGGCTTCAGAACTCATTGGACGGTGCTTCACAGTGCAGATGGATGATGACATGAAGCATGCTGGGAAAACAAAGAGTTTTTAAGGCTAAGAAGTGGAATATTCTGCAATAGCCAAGACCTGAATCCAACTCAACATGCATTTCACTAGCTGAAGACAGAACTGAAGGGAAAGTGACCCAAGAACCAGCAGGAAGAGAAGACAGCAGCAGTAGAGGCCTGGCAGAGCATCACCAGGGACCAAAGCCAGCGTCTGCTGATGTCTATGGGTTCCAGGCTTCAGGCTGTCAAGGACTTAAACGATTTGCAACCAAATATTAAAAGTGACAATTTGATTGATGATTATTTCAAATTAAAGCTGAAAACCACTGAACGCACATCTTGATAGTTTCATTTCAGATCCATTGTGGTGGCGTACAGAGTCGAGATTCTGAACGTTATGTAAATGTCCAAGTATTAATGGACCCGACTGTACAGAAGCCACATAATGAAAAGATACCCTCTGTATGTTGAATGTGCTCAGTTGTACAGCCCCCAGGGGTATTTTAGGCATGTAGAATAAACGGCCAGTGTGGTATTTTGAGCCAAAACTTGAAATATGCCATTTGAGGACATGTGAAACTCACATTAAATTGATAGGGGGTGTAGTATTAAGATCTTTATTGCCATACCTTGACTAATTTTGCACATTGTCGTCCACTTGACTGTGTGGCTGGTAGCTCGGTCAGTTCTGGTCTGACTTGTCTCTCATGTCACTAGCGATGCATGGACCTACATTTAGACAGTTGAGGTGATTAATGTACAGGTGCAGGAACTAAATTAGAGTTCTTTAGAAATGAAGAATGAAGTGAATCATTGTTCAAAGATACTCTGGATACTGCAGCTGATTGCACTCAGGATCTCTACTTCCACCCTCTGGCTCTCTTGCCCTGGTGTCTGTCCTCAGCCAGTTCATACTGTGTCAGAAAATGCCTTTTGTACAGTGTGTATCATGTGTGTTTGTGTATACGTGCAGGGTGTGCTGAGTAAAGCAGTGAACTGGACAGAACTGGAGAAGCAGTACGCCATTAACTCAGTGTATGAAGAGGAGATCATCAAGCTGCTGGAGTACTGTGGGGTATGTTGTCCTTATACTGACTTATATTCTCACATCTGATCTAAATATTTCCCTCTGTGCTTGAATGTTTCACACAAACCAAGGTTGTGCAGCTATTCACAGTTCCAGTTTGATGAGGACATTACAAATGCTAATAATTTAGCATAAATGTGGACTACTGGTGGTGACCCAACAAGGTCAACTGATCATTCAAATATAAAATCCTCAGTTTTGTTTCCAATAATTAAGAATTTGGTCATTTATTGAGATAGTTGTACAGATTCTCACATCAGCAGGCCTTTCTCTGTGTCCTGCCAGACACCCTTTTGGATGTTTTGTCAACTCATCAAATGTCAGATTTCTCCTGGAAAGTTAGACCCCCATCACCAAACACATGGACAAACACACAAGCTCCAGTTGTTGTATACTGCTAAAGTATACAGTGTCTGTCTTCTGATCTGTGTGTTCACATCTGTCAGGCTGACTCCTTTAAGATGGTGCCTGAACTTCTGAAAAACGTGGAGTCTTTAGACCACCTGCTGGGCCTGTCTGGAGACCACAAGGTGTCACTGGGTCAGTATTCCACAGCACAGATGGAAACGGAGGTTGGTGGAGGCCCTGAAGGATGCAGGGCTGGAATGATAGAACAACAACTATCATCATCAGGGAACAACAGGGGAACGAGCTTGGACACTTTACCAAGGTAACAGTAGAGGATTTGCTCTGATATAGAATTTGTCCTGAGCTAAAACAACTCAGGTTTACTATGTTAGAACTGCAGGCCTCGAAGAAGGAACTCATTGCAACAACAGTTAGAACTGAGGTCCATGTACAGTGCATCCAGAAAGTATTCACAGCACTTCACTTTTACCACATTTTGTTATGTTACAGCATTATTCTGAAATGGATTAAATTCATTTTTTTCCCTCAAAATTCTACACAAAATACACCATTATGACAGCTTGAAAAAGTTTTGTGAGATTTTTGCAAATTTAATAAAAACAACAAACAAAGAAATCATCTGTACATAAGTATTCCCACCCTGTGAGCCTGTGTGTGTCCATCTTTATGTTTGATGACAGACCTAGGTCTAAGCAGCATGGTGGATGCCAGGGTTTCACAAACTTCTGAAGATATGTTCAGCGACTTTACAGATACTATTTTTTCAGCTGCTCTTTGCTGGAGGGGTTGTGTTACTCTACCTTACTCTTTAAACTACCTCAAAAGTCAGAAGACGTACTACTGAGGGCTGCAGGGATAGTCTGAGATCAATACACTACATGTGGGCTGAGTGTGACCTTGGCTCTATCTGAAGAGTGCTGAGCACAGGAGGGATGCACATACATACACAGCAGAGCATAAAGTAGGAAGCAGAGCCATCATATATGATGGACTGTTGTACTTGTTTTTGCAGTGGCAATGTTTTGTCATCATTATCTGGCACAGCTTTTTTCAAAAACACTTTTCTGTCTCTGTGTGTTTCGAAGCTGTAGTTCACATCACTCACAGCAGAAGAAGACTGATTCAGCCAACCTGTGGCGGCCATCATTACACAAAGAGTCCATCAGCTTCATGAAGGGAGTGATGGATGAATGCACACACATGGCCAACTTCTCCGGTAGGTTTTATTGTGCAGCCAGGCAACATTACAGGCAATACTCATGTTTCGTTCCATCACAGAAACCAGGGAGATAGAAATAGTCAGATACCCAACATGCTGTTCCAGGTTACAGCCGAGAGAAAACAACGGACAGAACAGCCCCGTTTTCTACCTGGTGAGTCAAGTAGGGAGGAAATGAGGTGATAATGCAGACAGACCTGTGAGCGTGGAAGCATGGAGAAGATCTAAGTAAGGCGTTAGGGTTAAAAAAAAAAAGAAGAAGAAGAAGAGAGATCTCTGCAGGGCTAATCCAGTTTGTGGTCGTTTCTGGCCAATAAGGAACTGCTGACTCTGAGATGATCCCAGTGTATAGATCTCATCATATCCTAGATTAAAATGAAATGACGATGATGGTTCTTTTCCATCTTGTGTGGTTTTTAGTGAGGCAGTTGAGCTGCCTGGGCTGTCCTTCTAGTTAGTTATGCAAATACCTTCTAAAGTCAAAGCAGACTTTTAAACAGCTCTTAGGCAATGTTTTAATCACACAGTGACAGAAAAAAAACACAGCATTGCACTGAATCCATAACTAAACAGAATCAATCAGGACCATGCTGAACAGTACACTGTGATGATCCTCCCACTCGGTCTGTCTCCCTGTATCGCTCTGGGCCATTTGGGGGGCTAGTCTGCTTTAGACCTTGGTCGCTAAATCTAGGTTTAGTGAGGACTGCCCTTTTTGGGCCGTCTCTCTCCTCCTCCTTGGGTTCTGGCATCCTCCCTGACCAAACTATGATCACAGTCAGCTCTCAGTTTGGATAGCCGCTCTTCAACGAGCCCAGAGCCAGGAACAGTAGTTATAGACGAAACATTTCACTCCAGTTGATTCACTCAGTATTACATATATGCTTTAGCATGGGACATTATTATTATTACATGCATTCTGGCCCGCAGAGCAGCCATAAAACTGGTGTCTACCCTGCAGCACTCTATTGCATGGTAGACCCAGCAGCAATGACAGAATAGTCCACAGGGAGGCTGCCACATCCCAGACCCAGCTAGCTGCTGCACAGACATCCCTCACAGGTAGAGTGTGCCCTGACAGCAAGGCAAAGGAAGACCACTGCTGCAACCAGCCAGGAGGTTAGCCTCTACAATCCAGCTGTTTGGACGGAGCTCCAGCTCTGGCTGGGTTAGCAAAACACACATTCTGAGTTCGGCCAATGCACAGGACAAGGAACTCATCCTCTTCTGCTCCTCAGGTGCAAAGTAGGGGGGGGCTAAAGCTCCAGAGCTCAAATGCCACAGAGCTAAGGGCTACAGGGATGATCTGAGTTAATACACTACATCTGGGCATAGTGTAACCATGGCTCCACCTGAAGAGAGCTCAGTACAGGAGGGATGTGCATACAAAGCATGAGGGCTGCCTACACACATAGCAGAGCATACATTGAGAAGCAGGGCCATCTTCTATGAAAGAAATGTCATATCTACAGACTCAGTAGGTTCTAAAAGAGGACCACGCAGAACCTCAAACACCAATGACAAGTTCCATGAGGAGGGCTGGATATGACCGTGTATGTCAGCCAATAGAAGTTGGCTGATGGAGCCAGCATCCAGGTCCCTCTGTTAGTCACATTAAGCCTTGGCTTTTAATGTAATCCTTTGAAAACGCCTGTCCTGATGTATGAAAGTACACCGTGTCACCAAGCATGAACGTACGTGTCTTTTAAATCGATAGTTGCAAACCAATACCCCGGAGTGCTAACTTTTGGAATATAGTAATAACGGCTGTACCAACAGCCCAGACCACTTGTATTGCTCCCTGCGGCCTTATTCACTGCTACGGTGAATACCGCTGAGAAGAAACGAAGAGGCCTGAAACAGAACTGTGGATGGTAGCCTATGGCAACAGTTATCTCTGCCCATGGAGAGAGAGTGCACGTGCACCCCATTAAGGAAGATGTATTGCCAGTCAGCTGACTTGGAGCACTGTAGGTGTAGGGTTGGGGTGTGGGGTGGGAACGGCCTCACCTGACTGTTCGGATTTATTTGGTTTGCAGTGTTTTTGAAACGTGCATTCTTTATTTGTTGCAACATATAAAGAACAAAAAGCACCTTTATTTGGGCACTGGAAAAGTGAAAAACACTGTAAAGATTTGTTAAGGTCACCTGAGAAACATTTAAAGCACCTGAACTGGGGCTCCCTGAGACAACAAAGTGCATTTGTGTGCATTGGAGACTGTGGTCGGGGAGTCCAGCGCCGTTTGGGACTGAACCCTTTGATAGACGTTAGAGGGCACCTCTGAGGCAGCAGCAAGTTATGGCTGCAGTGAAGCCGGTCTCTACTCAGTACCTGGGTTAGGATGACTGTTTTTTCTTCCTCCTAGGCGTTGGCTCTTTCTGGAGGCCTGGAGGCAGCCCTTGCTCTCAGTGGAGCGGCGTGAAGTTCAATCAAACAGCTGCAGCTTCACTGGCTTTGCCTTTGCTCGCAGAGGAAGCTGCCCTCTTGGGAGGGGAAGTGGTGCTGCAGGAGCTGCAGGAAGGACTTTGGGCTTCACATCCCCTCTAGAAATGATGCTGTGCAGAGCCTCTGTGTGCTTCTTCTTCAGCTCCCACTATGCCTGAATGGCGTTACGTGAATGTCCAAACAGGGCCTCAGTGGAGAATGGCACATCCAGATAGATTGGCCTGTCTCTATCCAGGACATCAGATCATGTCAGCCACAAGTGTCTCTGTGCCACAACCGTTGAAGCCATCCCTCAGCTCAGGGACAGCTCTGCACAGCAGAATGTCATCTGTAGTGACCCTGCTTTCATTGAGGAGAGGCACCAATGGACTGTCGGGGGCAGCAGAGACTCAAGCTCCAACAGACTGATGGCCTGGTGTGTCTGCAGCATGGTGACGGGGTCAGAGCATCTGCCTGCCTCACTTCGGTAGATTTTCTTTCTTCCATAGGATGAGATGGCCACTCCTCCTCCAGCTTCTCTGCTGCACAGTGGTACAGATACCCCTTTTCCATCAAGAAGAACCAGGTGCTAGTTCTGTGCTGGTGCTAGTTCCAGTGCTTAGTTGGTTCCAATCTCACAACCAGTTGCTTTTCCATCAGCAAGGAGCCAAGTTAGAGCCACGCCAGTGACGTGCAGTGAGGATCATGGCTGGTGAGGCACTGACTTCATCAGAATCTGATTTACAAATATATGCACTCTACACGGTAGCATATTTGCCATTTGCCATTTGACTGGCAGCAGTTTACAGGTCATGTTTCATATCTGCATTCTTTACACATACAAGCTGTAGCCCACAAAACGCATGTTTCTTTTTTTTTTTGAAGTTATTGTGGTCTTACCTTTCAATCAAGTCCATGCTCTGCACCTTCTGGACAAAATATCCGTTGCTTTTTTGTAAAAGTCTCCTTATCTTCCTTCACTGCACTTGACTTGCTAACTGTCTATCGTACCTAGTCCAGCTTGCTGTCACTTGCTCTGCAGCCGCGGAGTCACAAGAAGCATGTCTGGGATCACCAGCGCCCCCTGCCATGAGGCAAGAGAACTGCCTGCCTCACCGAGAACCTCTTCTCAGCCCTTTATGATCGCTCAGCACAGGGAACACGTTACACACATACAGTTGATAACAGACAACATTGTACATTATTATATACATAAGCTGAACTATGGAAAATCAGTTTATATATTAAATGTGTTTTAAACATGTTATTGGCGACATACAGACAGCAGCACGCTGTCACTGTATGGCATCCAGCGTAGGTAGCGAGGGATTGAGCAATCCAAGTGAGGCACAGCTCGCCGCTGCCTCACCAGCTTCTCTTCCAAGCATTTGAATGGGAAATTGCGAAAATGTAGTGATTTTGAATTTAAAAATCATCAAAACTGACGAGGCTAAGTGAAAAAATAAATACTTTATAGTACAAATCACTGGATAAATATAACCATTTAAATTATTTTATCATCATATATTTTTTTCTTTCCGTAATGTCAGGTGAGGCTCTGCCTCACCTGCCTTCCCTGACCGCATGTCACTAAGCCACGCAATACGTCACTGCATACGTAGCCGTTTACTGAACAATGCTGGCGCCACACGGAAGTCCACACAGGACTCCAGACTGACTTTTTTACCGGTGTGACCAACTTTCCCACCTTGTCACAGGCAAAACACATGACTTGCTGAACATTTTCTTATCGATAGACTCTACAATTTACGATGTTCCCTGAACGCCCCAGATAGCAGGCTGTGGCAGCTGCTGTTGGTGGCCGCAGTGCTCAGACCAGTGTGCGACCAAAATGACTTTAAATAGAGTAAACCAGGGTGTTCTGATGTCAGGACCTCATGTCTAAGCTAAACACCGCAGTACACCGAAGTTATAAAAGTACTGTTTTCCACCACTGTGGTGCACCAGTGCAACAGTTTGTGCAGAATCTCTGAATGTCCCAGGACCCATTCCAGTACATGTCTTATCGGACCAGAGACTTCCTGGTGAAGAACGACACAAATCACTGCTTGTGTGTCCCGTTCATCGGTCACGGAAGTCTTGATAACCCCGCACCCAGCTCCTGACGTACTCAATGCATGTGTGTGTGTCATGGTAAATAGCCTTCTGTTTGGCCTGTGTCTGTAGTGGAGGCCAGTACCACACTAGATAAAATGGTATGTGTGTTAATACAGAATTATCTTCAGATTTATTTTGTACACATGGTTTGTATAAAATAATAACATATGCACAATGCACTTTTCATTAACTGCTGCTGCACAGTAACGATCAAGACATCTGGACTCCCCACTGGAGCTGGAGCAGCATGTCTGGAGGGGCAATGACACCATTGCTTGGTGCGATCCGGCAGCAGTCGGGCTGAAAGCCGGAGACATATTTTGACCTGTAAGGCAGAAGACAAAGGACATGCATGTCAGAAAGTGTGTTGAGATTAGCTGTAGCCCTTGGTTGTGCGACCAGGTGGAGTTTCTTACTGAGATGGAAAACTAAAGCAACCCGACAAAGTTGGACTATGGGCATCCCGGTTTTGGCAAGCAGAAAGATCCCAGGTGTCCTCACCGGGATGCGAATCAGGGATCTAACGGTGCTCACCACCGAACCACTGTGCAGCCCGGCTTTCGTGATGATGTAGTAGAACAACTACTAAAAGTTGTTTCTCAGACAAAAAGCAACAGAAGTAATAATATTTGGTGATTTCATCTGGTAAAGAAGGACATTTAAAAGAAAAATAAAAAATCAGCAAAAAAACCTCCAGCAGAACCAGGCTCAGGGAAGGAGGCCATCTGCCTTGAGCAGTTGGGGAGGGGAGAGGAGGAGAGGTGAGGTGAGGAGCCCAGTGCATCATGGGAATCCCCCGACAGTCTAAAGCTACAGCAGCATAACTGTTCAGGTGATCCTGAGCAGCTCTATCAGCTTTATCACAGAGGAAAGTTTTAATCCTAACCTTAAAGCAGAGGCAAATAAAAAGAGTGATACAGAATGCACACATAGAGGGAGAAGATGAGACACAAGGAAAAGGAAATATTTGGAAACACAAGGGAAGACCAAAATCAAAATGAAGAAGCACCATGATGACCATGACAGTGTCTCCACATCTGGGATATTTCCGTTTTGTTTTCATTTAATTGGAGAAAGTTTTGGGACAACCAACAGTCTTTTCTGACAGCCTAGATAGTGACTGATAAAAGTTACCTTTTTGCTTTTAATGGATTTTTATTTTCAGGTCCTCAGCAGTGCACCTGGATGTCATGTTTCTATATGTGTCCTGGTGGCAGCACGTTTATGCAAATCAACATGTCCTTCCCTCCCTCCCTCTGCCCTAGTTCCTGTAGACACTAGTCTCATCATTGTGGTCCAGGCCAAAGAGGATGCCTACATTCCTCGAACAGGCGTCCTCAGTCTGCAGGAGATCTGGCCAGAGTGTGAAGTCAGATATCTGAATGGAGGGCACATCAGTGCATACCTGTTTAAACAGAATGTCTTCAGGTAAACCACCAAGTCAAAGCCTGTTCAAAGAGCTGTAATCTGGTGTCTAATGTCTGCTTCAGTAACCACTGCTGACACAAACAGTCACACAGTCTGGGATTATATAGCTCGAGACACACTCCTTAATATTATGTTGTTGTCTTACTTCTTCCATTGAAGCACTGCATCTTGTGGGAGTAAATGGACAGGATTGCTCACTTCTGTCCCTATAGCAACAAGTTGTACAGAATGTGACAATAAAGCTCAGAGGTCACATGACTTGTTCTTGAGTCTTTAAGTATGAATATGACTTCAGACCGAACTCAGATTTGATTATGAATGCCTTATAGTCTCCCCAGTCCCACACACTGAATAAATAACAACAAACAATTACTTTGCAGCAGCTGAGGGCTGAACTAGAAGCAGGTTGGACATATCCAGGCTTTCTTTGTGTCAGTCGGCGCCACAAAAACGGAAGTCCCAGTTAGAGATAACGGGTATCATGAAGGTGGTTTTGAACGTTCTTAAGTCAGACACAGAAGGAGGCGTTTAACGCGTCATCTGACTCTTCTTCTGAACAGAATGAAACAATCGTGTCCCGTCTACCTCAGTCAACATGTTGTTGTAATGGTAAAAAGTGCTGCTACTGCACATGATGCAAGACAGGAACACTAAAATAGTGTTCAGTCTGAGAAAGATTAAGACAGTGAAGTTATGAAGCATGTTGTTTGTGTCCCAGGAATATCCATATGAATGAAGGACTCAAGGTTTCTCTGGAAAACGTTCCACTGTAATGAGATAAGTGTTATTTAAGGGTTTTAATGCTGTGGCTGATTCCTGTAGAACAAACCAAGACCAACTGCTCATTCAGATTTTAAAAGTTTTAAAGGTTTCTATACAGTTTATTTAAAAGTGAGAGATGGTTTGGTTCAGTTTCTGTTGACTCTATGTCAGAGAGCATCTCTTGCCTACTTTCATTGACATAAACAGGGTTAGCATTCGTTTAGACTTGAGATGTGCAGCCTCCACACTGTGCTGAACAGACTTTTATACATGATCTTTTCTTTGTCATGTGTTATCATTTTAGAATTATTTGCATATGTGTTTTATTTCCAGACAGGCCATATATGATGCATTTAACAGATTTTGCCTGAAGTATCCCAACCTGCATTAGCCCTGGAGCGCTGAAGCCCTTTCCTTCCTGTGTGAGCACCAGGACCAGTGGCTGGACATGAGAAAAACCAGTGTCTCCAAGCCTGAGTGTGTAGTATAGCAGTCAAGATGTCTTTTTCTGTGACAGGATACGTCTGAGATTTACACGTTGTCCATAATGAAGGGCAACTGAGCACAGCCACTTTGTCATTGTTTGTAATTTCTAATGTTTCTACTCCTACAAGGGAACTGTGTGTGTCCTGCTGCACCCAGATGAATTTATATGACTGAACCTTTAACGATATCTAAAGTGTTGTGTCTGTTCCTGCCAATATGTGGGTGTCAAAGGAACACCCAGGACTCTGATCTCACTTTGATAAACTGGTGATAACCGACAATAGCAGTGTTTGTTCTCCTGTTTTTATTTGCTCCTTATCACGTCTCCCTGACTATGAACACCTGCATCGTTCACACAGACACACCTGGATCACGCTGATGTCATGTGAGAGAAATACAGAGTGATACAGTATAGGACAACCTGCTCTGCCTACAGCTGGTAGAGCAGGTTGTCGTCTAAGGTTGGTGGTTCGACCTCAGCAGCAGATCACATACAAGTCACATTTAACTGGAAATGTGAACGAACTCGCAAAAAAAAAATCAGATTTCACAAAAAATCTGAATTGAGCATTCAGTCCTGCAGTCTGAACGTAGCCAATCTGTCGGAGTTTTCAGTTAGATAATACACCTTACTTCCTTATTGGTGACATAAAATGTCATGTTGGAGTCGGAATCCAAGGCTGTTGGTATGTTAAGGCTGTATTAATGGGTTCTGTTCGTTTTTCCCTAAGAACCTGTCAGATAGCAAAGTTTGGATTGTTAAGGGTTGAAGTATCGAGTCACGACTGTACTTCAGTTTTTAAAATGCTTTTAAATGTGCATGTTTTGTTGTCCGACTAAGTAGAGTCTGCCTGGTGCTCCCCACCTCAAAAGTTGTGTTTTCAATGTTAACATTTACTGTGTAAATTTCATGATTTCTAGTATTTAAAAACAGTCTAACCTATTGAGTGACATTGGAACTTTGATTGACAAGTAT